CCACCCAGGGCTGAGAAATCACAAGAGGAAAAGATAAATTACAGCTGTGCACATCTGCCAAATGGCCCCATTTCAAGGTCAGCTTTCAGTGCTGTTGCCGTCGTGGCTCTTGCCACTGTCTTCAGGAAGAACAACTCTAATCTCAAAACTGTTCTTGCTCTTCACTGCAGATATTGAGAATCTCTGTAGGTACACTGCACCCTGAAACCTTGGGCACTCTGGGTGGGTTGGACAACCAGGACAGACACGTGGTGACCACACTGCCTGCTGTGGTCAGTGCTCCACTGAATCCTGGGGCCAGGATGAGCCAGAGGGGCACAAGGAACACCCTTGAGACCTGCCAGCCACACCTGGATCTGTCACAGGCTGGTGGAGACTGTTCCAGGGCTGTCCAAATAAAGCTTTCTCTTTGTCTAAACCATGCACCGTGGTTTAGGCTGGGCTGACACTTCTGAGAGTGGACACAAAGAGTCTTGGGAAGAAAAGTGATTCAGTGCTGTGATTCCAGCAGATTTGCCTTGTCCTGCCATGTGCTGAGCCCAGTGGGTAAAGGATAGAACACCCTATGTCAATATTGAAAATGGAGAGATTTTGAGGCTGATGTCCCAATTGAGGAGGTGCTGTTGGTTTTGGTTGCTGTTGGTTGGGTTTCTTTTAAAGATGAAATGTAGTGCCTTCTGTTCCTAACAAACTCACCAGGCAGTTGCAGACCATACTCCATAGTGAGCAGACAGCAAAGTTCCCACTCTGTGTTTGCGTGGGAACTCGTAAATAATCCCTTAAGTACCCTGTTTGTTTTCTTGCTGTAAAGTGACACTTGTCTTTGTAGGAAAAAAAACAAAACAAAACAAAGCCAAATAGAGAATAACTGGGAGCAAACAGTAGGAAATTTCCTAACAATAAGGTCTGGAAGACTGTGTTTGTTGCAAAAACAACCAGGAGTGCAAGAGGCTGCAGCCCAGCCACATCAGGGAAACTTGGGGAAACCACTCTCTGACCTGAAATTAAAAGGAGTTGCCAACCCCCAACAGAACTGCTGAACTCTAGCCACCAAAACCAGATTTAATATGATTAAACCTGTTATCAGCTGAGTTTAAGAGTCATTGCCAAGCATGTTTGTGGCTCGGCGCAGAGGTTTGTGGCTGGGTTTGGATGTGGAGCTAAGGTCCAGCAAAGGGAGCTCCTCACTGTGGCTCCCACAGGCAGGGGGCTGGTGGCCAAGGGCTTCACCTCATCGCCTGGGGACGAGTCACAGCCCAAATGGACAGGAAATGGGTTTGACAGATGAGACAGCCACAGGGATAATGGCTGGGTGACTGATGGGGTGGGCTGTGTGATGGGTAGGGCTGCCGAGAGACACTGCTGGGTGAGCTAAAACCTCCATTAAACTGAAACTGGAGCGCTGCACGAGATCCATATCCCTGACTGAGGGCTGGGGCTCACTGGATAAGGGTGAGCTGCTGCACAGAAGAGCTTCAGAGGGCTCTTTGCACTGCAGCAGAGGGGAAAAAGAAAACAAAAACCGTTCATTGGACAAATAAGTCGATGAAAAGGTCTGGGTGGGAATGTGAGCATTGCCTGATATGATTTGGTGTCCCAAATGGCCTTAAGCAGCCCATAGAATTTCTATGTCTAAAACAGATTCCAGAAAAGGAGACCTTTCATGATGCACTAATAGGCTCATTAGGCTTTCTCCAGCAAGGCACGCTCACAGCATCGTATGTTTTTTCCATTACAGGAATTGCACGTGTTTTGTTGTGCTTTGGGTTTTGTTTTGTTTTCCACATAGGCTTGCCCTGACAGTTCCCCCATTCAGGTTTATATTGGAGGTACCATCTCGAGCCAATGAATTTTATGAAATATGTTGCTGGCACTCACAGGGAGATGCATAAAGGAAATATTCTAATGACAGTTGGAAAGGCTTTGATCCCTTTCCAAGACTGCACTCATGTCTTTGAAATGCGAGTTTGGCAGTGCTGGAAAGGCTGGGCTCTTTGGCTCTCTCTGGCACGAGCCCATGTGACAGACATAATGTCCTCTGTCAGGGGACCCACATAACCTTGAGAAGTGTAAGCAGTGCTCGCAGATTGAGCTGGGTCAGATAGTCTGGGCTGATAACGAAGCAGGGGGGAGTCAGCCTAGTCCAAAGCAATAACTGAAAGCTATTCTGACCTGGTAACTGTTGGGTCTGCTGCCTGCAGCTACAGAGTTGGACATGAACTGCAAAAGTAGTTAATTTATGCCTCCTTGAGTGTAGGAATGTGGCGATGATGGATAGGGATGGGAGGTTATTAGAAACATGGGGAGGAAGGAGAAGAAGGAATTCCAGCTCGTGTTTTTATCTCTTACACACGCACACACTGGTTCCTCACGTTCTCTTGGCTGCCTCGCGTGTGTGCATTGTCCAAGCCCTCACTGCCACACTCACATCTCTGCCCCTGCTCTCACAGGCACATACTCACACACTTCCCAGGGCTCTGCCTGAGCTCAGGGCTCGGGCATGTTTACGTGCTGGGGATTGCTGGCTGCTTCCATGAAGGAGTTTGCATTTACTGCCTTCCAAGCATGATCTACTTACACCTACACCCGGGCAGATCCTCTGCTAAAAATCCTCTTGGCATTCTGTTCTTCCTCCACTGAATACATTCTGCTCACTCACAGCCTTCTCCTGGCTTGCAGAGAAAAGTGGTCAGAGAAATACCAGAAACCCAAGTCCAAAGGACTGAGTAGGATGAATTTACATGAGGCATGAGTCCAGTCTCAGTGAAGCATTGCCATCACTGTCCAATTAGTTAAATGCTGTCTGCTCTGGATGTTTTTTGCAGTAGTAAACCATGTAGCCTTGGATGTTGGAGCACATGGGCTGTATGGAAGAGAAGGAGTGACTGTGGTTGTGCGCTGAGGAGATAAATGGGGATTGGACTGTGTAAACCATTAGCAGAAAGACAGCTGAGAATAAAGAAATATTAGTTTAGATTATTTGAAACCATGAGAGAAGAGGAAGGATAAAAATGGTAATCTCAGGAGGGGAGTTGGATTATAGTTACTCCTACAGGGATTTGTATGTGCATAAAGCATCTGCATCCAGAGTCAACAGCTGCCATCGGTCCAGGCAGCAGGACCTTCCTTCCCACTGTGATACAAACACATTTAAACAATGTTCTAATCAGACTAGGGGCTTCTGTTCCTGCCACTCTGTCTTGCATGAAGCATCACATCACTCCCCCATTCTCTCTTACACCTTTGCTCACTGTCAGTGATCCCCTCCCCGTGGTCACACCCCTGTCACACATTCCCCCAGTGCTCTCACACTGAGAACATTTGGAAGTGCACATCAGTTCTCCCAAGTAATTTCAAACTATTGCTCATGGATGTGTCTAAGTAGGAGCCCATGCTTGGAAAAGAAGTTTTCTAAGGCTCAAGGAAGGTCCTGGGAGTAAACTGAGCAGAGCCTCAGAGCATTGTGCAGATCTGGGCAGGACAAGCTTGAGGAGCTAAGGGGAAGCTCTGTGCATTCTCCATGGATGTGTTGAGAGCACTGGAGAGATGAGAAATGTGTAAAGGGTCACAGTGCTGACCTGTCCTTCAGAATGTCATCCCCATTTGATTGGAAGATAAACACTGTGTGGAATGGAAACATCCCCTTCCACTGGTGTCCCCAAAGAGCACATCTTCCTCTGTGAGTCAGCCAGGGCCTGGGGACACCCAGCCATGATCTATTTTGGAGGCAATGACTTCAGCAAGTGGCAGAGGAAGCTACTGTGGAAATATGAATGTGTTTTCCATTTGGGAGTCCTCAGAAGGACAGAAAGATCTTGGAGCTGAGCCAGCTCCCCCATTTTTTCTTCACCCTGCTGGGAGCAAAAGCCTCGCAAAGTATGCAGGGAACCCTTCTTGGAGGTGGTGGGGGTGTGTGGTTTGGGAGAGCTGTGTGAGCCTTACACACATCCACACATACAAAGGGGGAAGCAGGAATCAACCTGCTCAAGACCACGGTGGTGTCTGGTCCTTACAGCCTTTGAACAATGCTTGGCTCAGTGTGATCCCTCCCTCTGGGGTCTCCACCTGTCAAGTGAAGGTTCTACAACATATTCCCCTTCTAGCTTTTATCACAACACTTCAGCCAGTGTGAGCTGGAAACAGAGAAACCAATGGGTTTAATCTTACATTTTGATTTCTCCAGCTTTACTGTGAGTTGGAGCAGTGCAAGCAGTGTGCCACCATGGTATGTGCACTGGCAAGTAGCTCCTGTATTCCAGTATTAGAAAATATACTCCTTTAAAGGAGCAAAAAGTACCTCCAACAGCCATCAGGCTTAGCTTGCCTGCAAGCAGATTGCTCTGTGATTTCCAGGCATCCCAAAAGCTAAGGAGCAATGCTGATCACCCTGGGAGGACCCAAGGAGCCTTAGGAATTTATGGCATGGTATGGTACCACTCCTGGGGAGAGCTTTGGCAAGGCTTTGCCTGTTGGAAACAGCAATTCCCAACCAGCTGTGGGATGTCAGGTTGGGCCACATGGGTTTCAGCACAAGTGACCGCCACTGGTGCTAAAGGAGTGACTCTGGGAGCTGGTGTTAGCTGTGGTGCCAGCCTGAGGATGTGAAACTTGTTATTGTGAAGGAAAATTAGAGGTAACAACAACAAACAGCTTAGAGGAAATGTGCAAGCTAACTGCTGGTGTAAAAAGATTTACTGACCATAATGCTTAGTTAATTGCATTCATAATAAATAGATTCCTATACTTATCTTGAGAGTGTGGACAGCTTTATGTATTTACCTTGGATTTTGTGGCCTTAGTTAATCAATGGCCTGAAGTTCTAGATGAGATTCACTACATGAATGCAAAGTAATCAAAGTTTGGGAGTGGATTATTAAAACATTTCAGGTGATTGATATGCAGGGTATTATAAGACCTTTGCCTGGATTGCAGCACTTCTTCAGTGTTTTGTTGCTTTTGTGTCACCTTTAGGAAAAAAAAATGCTTTTCTTTTTCCACAGGGCATACTTGGATGTCAATGAACTTAAGAACATACTTAAACTGGATGGATCCACACACCTCAACATCTTTTTTGCCAATTCCTCTGAGGAAGAGCTGGCTGGAGTGGCAACTTGGCCCTGGGACAAAGAAGCCTTGATGCATCTAGGTGAGTGATAAAGATGTTTCTTCTTTGCAAAGCATTCTTTTGAGGCACTAAGAAGGAAAGACAAATATGCATTAAGCTCTGTTCTGATTTCTTATCATTCCTCTAATATATAGTCAGGGGAAAAAAAGTATTTCACGATTCCCAGATACTGGCTCACAACCAGGAAAATATTAGGTTATAAACCCAAAGCATATTATGGTATTTGTAGATGATGTCAAGCTGAAAGTATTTCACCTTTTCAGTGAAGCTACTTTACAGGGCATTCACTCCATGGGAGCAGTTTGTAGAAGACTGGGGGATAGGTGTGGGGACAGAGGTGAATCTTTAACCTTAGCCTGTTACATTCTGATCCTTAGCTCATTAGCAAGTATTCAATTAGCTCACAGACTGTAGCTAAAATCTGCTGCTATTTTTCTCTACCAAATGCGCAAAAGAGCAAACAGCTGAGGGATTGTATTTCTGATGTTCATTTGAGTGGAACTGGAAGGAGTTCACTACCCTGCAGATTGCCCGCTGTGTTTCATAACCAGGTTGCTGCTGGAACCCAGGGATCCAGACAAAGCCCTGCAGCCTCCCAAATGACTCACTGCCACCTGCAGTGCCACTGGACTTGTGTTCCCTGCAAAATGTCAGAGGAGCCTCAAAAGGTTCAGAAGGCACTGACTGAGTCACTGTGAGCTTCTCCTAACTTCACAAACCTCCCTCGAGCTGCAAACCTGGTCAAACATCTCTGAGCAGTTCTCATAGGCTTTCCAGATACTTCTCCAGCTCATCCAGACCTTCCTAGGCTGCAAGTGAAGCCCAGTTTCAGCCAAGTTAAAACTTTGTGGCAAACTGTTTCAGCCAGTTTTTATATTACCCAACTCCATGTTGAGCTAAATAAAAAAGATATGGTGACTATAAACCTAAATGAGGAGAACAAGAAGTGTTTATTATCCTAAAACATACAATGGAAATTGAGCTGTATGGAATAACCATGAGTCAGGGGCGATTTTCCAAGGTCAGAAATACCCCAAAAATGAGATGTTACCATGTCTTTATGGTCACTTGTCTTCACAGCAGAGAGAGGCTCCACGGTCAGAGCAGGCAGCTGGAACTGGCTGCTCTCCTTCATTTTAGTAAATGTTTTATTGCAACATCCAGCTCTGCAGCTGCTCTGGAAGAAGTGTGAGCAGCCCTCCCTTCCCAAGGAGCAGCACTTGCACACTGACACTCCTGCTGAGCTCAGCTGGAGCTGAAACCACTTCCACTCTGGCTTGCCTGCAGCCTCCTGTCTGCAGGCTCCTGTTGGGAGCACCCAAACCAGAAGGTTCTGTAAATGCCCACCAGTGACCATTCCCCAAGATCTGGCAAAAAAACCAAGACAGATCTTAACCCCAGCCTTGACCAGCACCCACAGTGATGGGGTTTCTGTCACTTTGGGATGACAACCAGCGTGGATTGCTGGCTGTGGGTTTGATCCCTGTGTGGGCCATTCCCTGAAGAGCTGGGCTGGATGATTCTCGTGTGTCCCTTCCCAAGCCAGCAGGTTCAGTGATTCTGTGAAGCAGTGGCACTGCCCAAATGGGATATGGCTGCAATACAGCTGCTCCTTCCCTAAATCAGGATTTCCACAGCTTCCCCTGGTGTTGCCATGGGAGGGAGCAGAGAACAAGGGGAGAGAACCTTCTGCAAGAGGGCTGGGGCTTGCCCAAAGCCCTGATGAGTTCTTCTGTCACTTCGTTAAGCTAATTGTCAGCATCATGCCTGAGCAAAACAGTTTAAATTCAGCTCCTACGGAGCATTGACAGAGTTCATTGACCAAAAAAAGATCTCACAAGAAAAAAATAGACACTGGACAACAGATTTAAATTTGACTTGCCAGGAAAAAAAAAAAAAAAAAAAAAAAAAAAACACAGTAAAAAATAAATAAATAATGCTCATAATTTCCTGTCATAATAGCCCTCCCAGACCTGTGCTTGGTTTGTAAGAATTCATCTTTAATCTTTTTTACTCTCTTCTATAAATCCAATATGTACTTAATAAAAAATATGAAATATGTCCTGTGGTGCAGATCTAAAGGCTGGGATAGAGATTGTCTGGGTGAGGGAGTTTATCTTTTCTGTAAAACTGCAATTGATTTAGATTCTTGACAGCTATAAAAAATATAAATTTTCAACAAAGGCAAAAATAAAATCTCCCTCTCCAGCTGCCTCAGGGTTCTCCTATGCCAGAACAATTTAACTAGCCTCTACTGAAGGCACATCCTGCAGGAATTTAACCAATATTCCTGCCACTGGGAAGCAAACACTGGAATTCTTTTTGGGATAGAGAGCCCCAAAATGTATGTCAGGGTACGCTCTGGGTATAAATGGCTCCACCTGGGTAGAGATCAAGCACCAGAGGAATCAGAACTTGTATTATATAGAGGGGGAGCGAGGAATCATGGGTTTATTGTGGAGCTGCATGCTGGTAGGTCTGTATATAATTAATTGGGAATGTGGAGAGCTGGTGTGAGGAAGAGTTCAATGCTGTGAAAAGGAGGTGCAGATGCTACGTGTGGTGTAGACAAGATGCGCAGTGTGGCAGACTTTATTCACTCTTCTGTGTGTGTATTTAAATTTTCTGTTCTCCTTTTTTTAATTAGTTTTTATGCATTTGTACATGCCCATGGGACTCCTCTCCACCCTGTGCACATCGTCACATGTGCCCCTGCTCACAGGGAGGATCTTTTCTCTCCTGCTATTTTGCACACGTGTCCCTTCAGGACATCCAAAGTTCTCCTTCGTCTCCCTTCAGCACTGACACAGTTTCAACTGAAGTGCTGCATGTTGTGTTTTGGGCATTGTTCTTACAGGGAAACGTGAGGTAATGGGGAAAATCAAAGAGCCACAGTCAGGGAGATCTAGGAAAAGGGTTCAGCTCCAAGGAAAGGCTGGAGGGATTACAGTGATTCAGACTGAAGGGAAAGAGCCTGAAGTGGGGATGATGACAATCTCAAAAAAGATGATGAAAGGGGAGGAGAATATTCTGTTCTCCTTATCCGTGTGAGGAAGGACTTGAAGTCATGAACTTAAATTGCCAGAAAATCAATTCAGATTAGATGTGAGTTAAATCCTTGCAGCCATAGGGATGCTGAGTGCTGACATTGATTGCTGGGGCAGTCATGTCATCAGGGGTTGTGAAGAGGCAACAGGCCAGAGTGTGTGAGGGATGGTATAAACCTAATTGGTTCTGTGTTGTTTGAGAGTGGAATTTAGAGGACTACTTAAGAACTTCATGGTCTCATTTCCCTCTAATTTCATGCTTTTTTACAACCAAGTCTCCAGGCAGATGAGGATGAAGGGTCTATGGTGCATCAGAACCCAGTGATCTCATCTTCCCTGTGCTACAGCCACTGATAAAGTTCTTCCTGCCAAAACCTTTATCCTCCTCATTGTCACTAAATTATTAGAGTACCATGTCCAAGATTTATATTCCCACTATAACTTTTACAAAGCAGTCTCCTCTTTTCATGATAGGAAGGACACAAAAAGAGTTTTACATAAAAGGCTTGGAAAAATTGAGATCAACAAGCTAAATAATAAAAATATCAAGCATATCTTAAATACAAAGGTGCATAAAACCAAGCTAAAAATATAGTTCATATGATTAATTCAATGTACTGCAAATCCTCACTAATTTGCCATTTGCTTATTTGCACATCCCTTAATTCATACAACAGAAAACACTGTTAGTTTTCTTTGCAAACATTTAATAACCATGTAGTTCTTTTAGGGTTATCACATTCCAGGATTTCATATTTTTTTTGACACTTCAGACTTAATGCATATTCATCAGTGGACTGTGCAGTTCAGATCAAGCCAGGCTAGTCTGAGTATATGAACAGTGTGTTTCTAACAGCTACTCCAAAGATGCCTCCACGACACCTTGAAAAAACTGCTTCAGCCTTGGGTGTGCTCACTTTGCTCTGCCCAGCTCTTAATTTGCAAGTATTGGTGCAGTCTTCTGCAATTCTCAGGGTGTTTCAGAAGTTAATAGGCTTTTCTCACATCTTTACCCTGTGGAATATTATACACAGAATGTGCCAGGTGTGTTCTGTTTGACTCTTGGTGTCAAATAGGTTGCTTACACCTATCTGGGCAGAGTCGCACTCTTTAAGCACATGAAATTATCTAAAATTGCATAGTAGGAAGTAATTTCATGCAGGATTTTCCTCTAAGTTAACAAAAAAACCTAAATTGAGTTTATTCCGTTGAAAGACTGATTGTTGCAGTGCTATTGGTTTGGGATGTTGAGGTCTGTCCCACAGTTCTTCCTCCTTAGAGCCCCAGATTAAGGGTGAGATGAATGTCCACTGGGCAGGAAATGTGTCTGGTTCTGCAGAAAACTGTGCTACAGAGGATCCAAGGGGCTGCCAGAGGAGCTGCCCTTAGGAAGGTGTTCTTTTCCCTTTCTCCTGCTGTCCTGAGGAACACAAGGCAAACCCAGAAGCCATTCTCTCTCCCCTTGCAGGTGGCATCGTGCTGAATCCCTCCTTCTATGGAATCCCTGGCCACACACACACCATGATCCACGAAATTGGGCACAGCCTGGGGCTCTACCACGTCTTCCGAGGCATCTCCGAGATCCTGTCCTGCAGCGACCCGTGCATGGAAACAGAGCCCTCCTTCGAGACTGGGGACCTGTGCAGTGACACCAACCCTGCCCCTAAGCACAAGCTGTGTGGGGACCCTGGGCCTGGCAATGACACCTGTGGCTTCCACAGTTTCCTGAACACCCCCTTCAGTAACTTCATGAGTTATGCAGGTACTGGGCTTTGCTCGGCTTGCTGGGGGGTCTGTGGCTGGGCAGGAACAAGGAATTGCAGTTTTACCCCTGATTTCTCAGTCCATTTCTTGTGGGGCTTTATGCTGATAAAGGTCTAGGACCGGGCTTGATGAGAGATCAGGCTTGATAGCCTCTGGAATCCCTTCTAGTTCTCATTTTCTTTTATCCCAGTTTTCCCCAAATTTGCAGAGTTTCATGAGAAGACCAGGCAGAAGGTTTGAGGGATGGAAGAAAAGAGATAAGCATTAAGAAAACAGCTTCCAAAGGCTCTACAGCAAATCCGACACCCTCTTTTTCTGAGATCTGGATGCCTGATCTATGAGGTCTTTGACAAACTCAAATCCAGAGATTGTTTATGCTCTCCCAAGGAGATATAGAATGTCAGATGAATATTGATACCATCAAGGCTGTCGGATAACCCTGTGACAAGTGGACAGCTAATGAGGCACCGCTCGTGCCTCCAGGTGTCTGTTGAAATGCCATGTTTAGGTTTGATTTGGAACTACACACATCCCAGTTCCAGCTTTAGAATGTGAATAGTGGGATTCTGCCTGGTCAGGGACTACCAGAGCACTGTGCTGGTTTGTACTGGGAGTGCAACAACAGGGGCTCCGTATCAGTGTGGTGAAACCACCCCACAAAGCAAGAGCTGATTACAGCTCTGCAGGCACAGCTCTGCTGCCCAGATGTGCCAGGTTCTGGCATTCCTCCCAAAAGAGCATATCCCAAAGAGGGAATTTGCTCCTGTGACCCTGTCCCATTGGATGAGGCTGGAGTGGGGTCCTTGATGCACTCTGGAAGCCCAAGGAGAGCTGAAAGCTCCTCTGTTATTTCTCAGAAGGAACAGGGGATACCTTGACTCATATTTCCCCATAGTTTGGGCTGCAGGGTCTCTCTGCAGTGACAGTCTATGACAGTGAGCTGACAGCATCAACAACATTTTAAAGGCAACCAATATACTTACAGACACTGAAGGGCACCTTTATACTCCAGGCAAAACCACAGATTTCCCACTCAAAAGGTCACAGGAGTGCTTATTCTGTAATAAAACTGTAGAGAAGCAAAGTGTTTAATGTCATCTGGGGCATGGATTGAAATGATTTATAACCAAAATGCTTTTATGCCCTTTGTGGCACCAGCTAAAAGCAATGCCGAATTTTCCCTCTATTTTTTCTGTTTGTTTAGAGGGTGTTTTCAGGGACAAACACACCGAGTCAGCTCCTTGGTGTGCTGTGTGCTGTGGTGCCTGTGGTCGGGCAGGGAGCCTGAGCACCCACTCCAGCCTCATGGTAACATCCTTCAGATAAGACAGGACCACTCCCGATGACAAAATCCCCCCACCAAATCTGCTCACGTGGATGTGGCGAGGAGTGGAACGTGCTTGTTTCAAAACTCTGAGCTCTTTTCTTCCAAAGAGAACTTGCCTTGCCAGCTGACTCGGGAGCTGAGGCAGAGGCAGACCACAGAGATACCCATCTGCTCCTGGGAGCTACATGTGTGCTGGTGTTCTGAGCTGAAACCTCTTTTTTTTTTTCCTTGAAAAATTAAGTGAAGTGACATGATAGATATCTCTAGAGCTCAAGCATGAATCTGTTTGTTTTTCTGTTGTTGCCAGTGGAGTAAAATATATCAGGATATCAAATTGCTGTCAAAATACCTTTGAAACGTGTAGGTTGAGGTCATGCAGTTCTAGGAATTGCCTGTCTTTCATTTCTGTTTTGCTGCTCGTGTACAGCTTGATCATATTGTATTTGTCCGTCTGTTCCTGCCCCATCCATCTGTCCAGTTACCCCCAGCCCTGAGCAAAGCACTCACTTTGACTGATAATTTCTATTTTTCCTGGAATAACAAGTTGCAATGGCCAAAAGATTAGACAGTGTGAGAAATACGACTTATAAATTATTTTTACAAGTCCAAATAGCTGTGGTGTTCCCAAATAAAAGATAAGTTAATCTTTTAGATGACTTTTCATGAAATCATTATGAATTCTTCCTCTGAATTCTGTTGGAGTAATCGTCAAAAGTATATCAAAGTATAGAATTTCTCTAACTATTTGTTTGAGGATCTTGAACCTTTCTTGATATTGAGTGGAACACCTTTCTCCCTCACCTCTCCTCCCTTCCCCTCCCCCTGGACACAGCCAGTGCTGATGTTTAAACAGATTGAGAATGCAGGTCATCTTTCTCCTGTGCCACTGTCCCACTGCTTTGTCCTATATATATTTTATTGTTCTTTTATGATGGATATTAAGGGCCTTTGTCTCCTTCTGTGCTTCCGTGAAGGATATTTATGGCTTTTACCGTGTGCTCAGGGGTAGACCATCGATAATTATTGAGGAAATCCAGAGATGTCACATTAAAGCAGCTTTTTGCATACCCACAGGGATTTGTAGATATTATCAAGCGGGTGGTGTCTGTCTACCTGCTGTGCATGTTGGATCAGAGGAGGGTCACTGCTCAGTGGAATAGGAAGACACGTGAGCTGGTGTGTCCCTCCTGTGGGAGGGCTGCAGTCTGAGCAGGATCCCGACCAGAGCTGTCTCCTTTTGCCGGCATCTCTGGGAAGATGTGGCCAGGATTTAAATTAGCCAGCAAACACTCATTTGTCTTTAGAAGAAATTCATATTTTCTTGTTCCTCTGGAGTACCACAGGGCACAGACTTGCAAACATCAGAGCACCTCCTAACGCTGTCACAATATTGAACTTACACACGAGCAGCCTCGGTGACCTGCATCTTCCCAGAGAAGTGCAGCACTTGACCTGTGGAGAACTGTCATTGTTGTTTGGATCCCAGCTGGGACCCAGCTCTGCTGGGCTGGGAACTCTGCAGCCACATGTGAAGAAACACTCTGTGTTTTCAAGAGCTTTTCATCTGATGGGAAGAACACCAGAAAAATGGTTGAAGTGCTTAGGACCGAGTTCCTCAGCATAGCTTTGCTGGGTGACTTTGCACAACATATTTATTCCCTCTGGGATCTGCACAATAGAGAAACAGCAATTTTCTTCTTCTCTGGGGCATTGTAGTTGTAAAGCTGTATGGTGTTCAGAGGGCACTGGATGTGTTCTTGTTGCCAAATCATGTTTGAAGAAAACAAGATGAAATGAGAAATGGATATTTATGGGAAATCATCTAGCATAGTTATTTCTCCATTTTCAATGAAAAAGAAATATGAAATATCAAGAAACGTTTGTGAAAAGTTCAGAAAGGGGTTAGAATCATAGTGGTAATGAAGATTTTTTATAAAACTAAAGTTATTTTTTGCACCAAAAAATTACATTTTTATCAGTGTTTGGGATGATATTTAGAACATTTTTATTTGCTCCTTAGAAATTTTTAAGTTATGTACTTCAAAATTCTGTGGTGTTTTAATCTAAGAGATCTGACAGTCTGTTGCCCATAGCTTGCATGAATCCCAGTCAGTGCTTTTTCCTTACACTACCGTCCTTTACCCTTCCATCCTTTCTCAGATATATTCTTTTAAATGTGAAATTCTTTTAAAGCCAGAGCTCCACTGGTGGCCCAAATCCTGACCAGAAGGTGCTGCCCTGAAGCTTTCTGTTCCTCCCCCTCCGTGTCTCTGCCTCATTTAGGGTTGATCTCTGGGTGCTTCAGGTGTATCCAAGCCAGTGGGAGGGAACGTTTATTGATTTATTTCATTCCTTTTTAACCATTGTTTCCTTTCACCTGCCTCCACAAGTGATGGCTGTGCTAATTCCTTCACAGACCATTAACTCTGGAGAGCTGTGGGACCCCAGCCCTGGCCAGCCCAAGGAGCTGCCATTCACCAGGTCATAATTCTTCCCTTGCCTCCTCTCCCACGTGGCTGATGTGGCTTCTGTTTGGATTGCAGATGATGACTGCACCGACTCCTTCACGCCCAACCAGGTGGCCAGGATGCACTGCTACCTGGACCTCGTCTACCAGAGCTGGCAGCCCACCAAGAAACCGGCTCCCGTCGCAATTGCCCCGCAGATTGTGGCTCGCACCTCCGCCTCTGTCACCCTGGAGTGGTTTCCACCCATCGATGGCCACTTCTTTGAAAGGTGATCATGCTCTGCTCTGTACTCTCCTGCTGGAAAAATGGGAAGGGGAGAAGCAGAGGCTCCAGGAGAGCAGCTTGGTCATGTGCTGTGCTCAGCCTGGGTTAAGGCTCTTTCCTAAATTGGTTCATACTGAGGAGGTTATTGATCTGTTGTCTGCTCTTCCTTTCTCAGCCTGTAGCACTCAGTTGAAGGCCATTGATTTGCCATGTAAAGGGCAAATCTTTCTCCATATGTTATGGGAGGAATTTTCAATCAAAGATTCCGGCCCTGTGATTCCTGCTGTGATTGCTGCTCAGGAATACCTGTGGGCTTTGGCTGTGCCTGCACGTTCCCCCCTCCTCCCCTTGCACATTCCCTTGGCAAGGACAAAGTGGATCTTGTCTTCACAACACAGAGCTCATGGGCAAGGAGGTGGCTGGTCTGGGGACAGGGACAAATGCTCCCTCCTCCCCTGAGCTGTAGATGTGAGATGGGAATTGAGCAAGGCAGAGTCAAAGCCCCAGACCCCTGGATATGATGTGAATGTTGTTCTGTAGGTGAGCGTGGGGCTGTGTGTGTTCCTGTCTGGCAGGTATGCAGCTATGTGATATCAATAATGGAAAATGTAGGCCTCTGGGCAGCAGTTGCTCCTCATTGCAGCCCATATTCAGAGCAATTCTGCCCCAGTATGACCTGAGTAGCTGGGTAGTTCATCTAAATGCTCTTATGCAGCTCTTAGATGCGCTGCAGAAGCTCTGGGAGTCCTGGCAGAGAACTTCCCAAATCACTGACCTTCTCGCATTACCATTAACTCACATCCCCGTTTGCATTTCTTCTCCACCTCTTGCTTTGTTGTTTTATGGAGAGCAAACTTGGAGTGTCCTTCAGGACCAGCAGCAGTGCAGAGCACAGGAGGCCAAATTTACAAGCATATTAGCACCCAAAAAGCTGCCTCAGCACTGCTGCTTTGTGCTGGGAGAGCACCTTGAAACCACTGCCTCCATCAGGGATGAAACTCCTTCCAGCACTGCTAGGATACCGTGGCCATTTCAGTGGCCAGCTTGCACTTTATCCCACTAGGCAGAGAGCTGTTATTTTCTGCTCAGATGAGATTTTCCACCCTTATTGCAGATTAATATGGGGAGGGAAATCAAATCCTGTTAGGAATTGATAAAGAGAGGTCTTGTGCTCTGAACAGTATTTGCTTTAATTACAGTTTTGTAACCGAATCCTTTTATTCCCTACCTGTGGAAAGGACTCATGTAGCTCTGAAAATTAATTCAGAATTTTTCAGCCCATAATCATTTTTAGGTAAATTAAGTTTCTCCAATTTAATTTAGATTTCAGAAGATGCTTATTGTGTGCTAAATAAATGCCATCTGCCTCTAAAAAACACATTGATGCAGAGTTAATTGTTATGTAACCAAATATGACTTTATTACATATTTCTTATAACTCAATCAATATGTTCTTAATAAGCTCTAGTTACTTACTTCTTAAATAACACACAGTGGATAGCCTGCTAAATCTAAAATTTCATAACAGAGTTATCATATGTTAAATAAAGAGTGATTTTCCAGGAAAAAAAAAGTCCTTAGGGTTTTCAAATCTGTGTGCTCAGTATTACTGAAGAGATTTAAAGAGACAGCCTCAAATACTTTGAGTCCAATTTCTTGTTAAAATGAGATTCCCACTGCTAACGGATACAGAAATGTTGCCGTGACCATTTAAAAATGTCACTGAAACATATAAATGATCCTGTCTAAAACATGCCCAAATTTTTGATCTGCTAATCAAAACAAGGATGATAGTATTATTCTAGTGACTAATCCTGGAAAAGCCCACGTGCTGAACTTCCAGAACCTCCGTGTCCAGCGCTGCTCGGTCAGAGACTCATGCCTGTATCAATTTGTGAAATTGGGTCACTGTGCAAGACAAGTAGGAGGTAAAATTGGCCAAGTATAATCTTATCTGTGTGTGGGAATACTGTAAATCTTTGCAGATATTTTTACACAAAGTGCACACCATTGGCCCAAATTTTACTTGCCTCACTTGAATGAATAAACTCATTCACTTCAATGGGACTATTCATGTAAAAAACAGAAGACTGATACTCAGCTGCTGAGTGCCTTGGGCCTGGTTTCTAATGCACAGAGGCCCCTTCCTTGCTGTTTTGACAGTGTAAAAGAGGATGAATGGCTCTGGCTACACTAGCAAGTGTTGTGGCCCTATAGAAGCAGATCTCCAGCGCAAAACAGTTGTTAATGAAGACCTGACGTCAACACCGCTGGGGCTCGGGGGGCTCCAGTACCAGGAGCACATCAGGTGTGGTCCTGCAGCTCACCTCCACTCTGGGTCCTGGAAAACTGGGTCCAGCTTCCCTGCTCAGAGCGCTGGAAGCGGGGAAGAGGAGGAATTTCACTCCCAGAGCTCACTCCTGATCCCAATTACAATGCTGCTGTGGGCGTGCTCAGCGTAACTCAAGTTCCTTTTATGTCTCTTTTATTCTCCAGAGCTGTGCACAGGCAGTGACCTCTGCTTAATGAAAGTCAGGGAGGGAAAATTTAGCCTTCTGTTTAAAAACATAGCAATGGGCTGGCTGGATCTGTGGGAGGTCCTGACAGGTTGAAGGGAGATGAGGCATGGAAGTAAAGACTGTGTGTCTGTTCCCTGCTTAGATGCAATTCTGTCATAGGTGCATTAGATGATTTCCTCATAGGGTCTTCAAATTACGTGATTACTAACGTGGATTTAGGGACAGAGACCAATGTTAACTCCTAGTTCCTGTAAATTTGGGGCTGACTCTCCTGTGTTCTCACAGTTTGTCCAAAGTAGACACAAGAGTTGTGCACAGCAGTAAATTCTTCTCCCTGACAGACCCTCCTGGCCTCTCCAGAGTCTTCAATTGGTGTTTGCTCTCTCACTCTAGGGAGACACTTACCTGCATGCAAATTTGTCAAGATGCTTTGACCCTAAGCTCCAGCAGCTGATTGAGCTCCCAGACATCTCTAATAATCAAATATATCAAGAACCAGCATTTTTTCTTGTAGCTCCTGCCCACAGGATTGGAATCTTTCCCGCTCTCCATCCTCCCTTTCAAAAAAGCATGAAAAAATGTTGTATGCACCCACAATAACATATAATAATAAAATAACAATAAAGCAAATGAAACAAGTGAAAACAAGCAAGAAAAAGAGAAGTCTCTTCATTTCCTGACTGCATCCATTGAATGTGTTCATCTTCTGTCTCTGAGCATCCATTCATGCACCTCCTGTCTGAGATGCGTGGGCAGATGTGAACATTTATTGTCATGGGGCTCTGCAGCAAATTTGGGCAGAAATCTTTGAATGCATCTGCTTCTCCAAGTTTTCATTGAGGTGACAGCATTAATTTCCATGAATCTGATTCTATCTCATTCTTAGCAAGCAAATATTTTGGTCAGTGTGGTGTCCCAGAGATGGCTGGGCTGATAATCACTCTGTTAAACCTTGCTGGAAGGTTTCAGCGCCTTAGAAGGGAGAAGACCAACCCTGAATTTCAAGTAGAACAGCTCAAATTTAGTCTGTAAACAGGCACTCTTTACCCAAAGGAATGACAGATTTTTAGTGGTTTTGAGTTGCCTACTGAACTGGTGCTGGCCCTGAAGGAAATGGTCTGTTTTTCACTAGTAATCTTTAGATTTTGAACCCACTTCACTGAAATACCATGCTGTAGGAATGAATTCCTCCTGTGCTCTGAACTTCATGAGCTGGAATTTCCCCAGTACTTGGCTTATTAGAAAACAGAGAAGTCTAGATTTTCCATTACCCTGCACTTTGGGCAGTCATGTGCCACCATGTATAAGGTGGCAGATATGGCTATCATTCCTAATTAATTGTGGTTTTGAACCAATTTATGCTCATTCCTTTCCTTGTTGTCCATGGCTTCATAAGGTATAAGGACCTGGCTTAGGTTTTCATAAACCTGTAAATGCAACTCCATAATTAGGTTTGACATTCATGGCTCTTTATAGGATTTGTGTGCAAAAGTCTGGAGACCAAAAACTTTAACCCAGGAGTCATCCCCTGTGTAAGTCCTTTCAGCCAGTGGAGTTACATCAGGGTTGAGTTTGGCTCCCAAACTGGAAAAGTAAAAAGAGAAAGTTTGCTCATAGCCTTTCCCACATGATGCTCCTTGTGATTTCTCTCTTACCTCCAAGTCCTCACTGGTAAAAGGAAATGTTTGTCCATAAGCCTACGGTTTTTTTCCACCATGGCATCCTGTGATGAAATTGTATAGCTGCTAATTTGAGTAAAAAGCAGTCCTAATTGTGGAAACTTGGCTTCCAGACCCCTCTCCTCATCCAGGACCAAGTGCTAATGCAGGAGTCTCTTTGTAGAGAAACTGAAAGATTATTATTGCAGAGACTTCCATCCTGACTGTTCATGGAAGTGTCTGAAGGACAGCTGCACAACAATAATTCTACATTTTGATTTCTCAGGTCCATTTATTCAGGTTTCTTGATTTTCTTTTTTTAATTTTGTGTTTGCACGTATTATTCAGGCAAGCTGAGTCAGACACCTAAACCTCTGCTAAACAGGCAGCTGAGAAATGAACTAGGGAGGCAGCATCATGCCAGTGGTGCAGGTGGGTGAAGTGAGACAGGGAGAGAAGTTACTCATAACATGCCCACATTTTTTCATTACCAGTGTTACAGACCATGAAAGGAAGAGGAGGCCACCTTTGCCTCCCTCTCCTGTATTCCACCCCATTGCCATGTTGTGTTTTTCAGGTGTTTCCAGCAGATGCATCCCTTCCTGCACTGCACAACTTCAGCCAGTTACTGTCTCTGTCACGGTGGCTCAGCCACCGAGGATCACAAACAGCCTCTGCCTGAGGATGACAGTCCTCTCTTCAAAGTAGTGCTGAAATAAATCATGCAGTGGTGGTTACAATGGTTAAAATTTGCATAGCTGATTATAATAGTTGTTATAAATTATTTAATAATTGACTCAAGCTGTTCTTACTAGAGTAGCGTAGAGAGTACACTGTGTTACACACAAATTGTTTGCCTAAAACTTCTGTCCTTTCCTAGGTGCATTTGATCATTAGGATAATTAATTTTTAACTTTCCATTGTAGTAGAAAGTGTTCCTTAAAGCAGAACAATTAATTCTGAATAGTAAGCAGCTTACTGGGGTAAATAACCATGTACTTTGGGTCATACAGGGTTCCAAATTTGTGACCCCAAGGAACACAGGGGTGAACTGTGTGAATTGCATCCTCAGCTGATACAAATCAGCTTAACCTTATGGAGGATGTTAGAGCTACTCCAGTCTACATCAGCTTAAACCCTGATCTTGGAAATGTATTAGCAAAACTATTTAAACTGAGGTTAGTTTTAGATTAGGAAGGAATTGTTCCCTGTGAGGGTGGGCAAGCATTGGCACAGGGTGCCCAGAGCAGCTGTGGCTGCCCCTGGATCCCTGGCAGTGCCCAAGGCCAGGCTGGACAGGGCTCGGAGCAGCCTGGGATGGTGGGAGGTGTCCCGGCCATGGCAGGGGTGGGATGGGATGAGCTTTTCAATCCTTTCCAACCCAAACCAATTCATTATTTGTGAATTGGTGTTTAACTGGGTTTCCCTGCTCAGCCAATCTTGATGGTAAGACAATCCTAAAGATACTACAAGTTCAAGCAATAAATAAATCCATGGTGAGAGCAGAAATAGATCTGAAAACTCCTGAGGCAAATTTCTCTGCTCTAACCCCAAAGCAACGTGTGTTTTCTTTTGTCATGGTTTGGTCCAGTGCAGGGAAAAAAAAATAAAACAGGTGAATGTGATTTCCCAGGTTGCTGTCATTTTGTGTTGGATGGAGGGCTCAAAAATGCTTTTTGCACAGGCTCTTGACTTAAATCTACAGAAGGTCAGCATCAGAAAACACTTTTGTCAGTGCCTTGAGAAAAGAGGGTTAAGTGGACCTGAATTCTAAGTCTTATTGCTTTTAATATAGTTGAATAAGCAGCTCATTCAGCTGTTACTAAGTTGGTGTGTTTTCCTGTTTTCCTGGCCTCCTAGAGAAGTGGGATCAGCATGTGATCTGTGTGCAGAAGGAAGAGTCCTGGTGCAATATGCCTTCAGTGCCTCTTCTCCCATGCCCTGCGACCCCTCGGGGCACTGGAGCCCACGGGAGGCAGAAGGTGAGTCACAGGGATGGGGACAAGCACGTGGTGGGAGAGAGGGTGGGACACAGCAAAGGGAGAGCCACAAAGGCAGTGGGAAAATCTGGGAGTGATTGATTATACCTGCATGTAACGTGGACAGAACTGGTGGGCAGAGGACCACGGTGCCCTGAAGGAATGCCACTGGCTCAAATACCTGTGTTTTGGCCCCTGAGTCCTGCCCTTGCCCATGAATTAAGTGAATTCCAGGAGCTGAACGTGAATTTCACAAAGCAGCAGAGTGCCAAGAAATACTGACCATTCACATCTGCCAGACAAATTCCTCAGGGGAGCTGTTTACTCCCTCTACTCCAAAAGTGAAGAGTTGTTATTTATTTGGGCCTGATTTGAGCTGCCTTCTCTTGTGGTGAACAGCAGTGGGCTGAGGCCAGGCTGGAAGGAGGTTGCCCTTTGCAGTAGGAATGCAGGTGACCACGTCAAGCCTTCTTGTCCAGGGTGTTTTGCAAGTCATTCTCTTGGAGCCTGTTGGAGGGAGAATGGTCTGCAGGGCTGGTTGTGCAGTGCCATTAGATGTCCATCATTAACTCTCCTCCACGCGTCCCTTCCGTTACGTCCCTGGCAGTATGTGGTGGAGCATATTTAAGATTGTACCAGGCAAAGGTCAGTCATCCCAAATCACGGTTTGGAAAGAGCAGAGTATTATTTCAGCATCCCTCAGGAGCTGCTCCTTCCGGAGCAGCACACTCCAGGCCCACACTTCACCCTGAGCACACAGGTGAGCTCACTGAGCCCCAAGGACAACCCTGGATGCTGCAAACTCATTATACAAATACCTCCTTATGTTAAGGGTTTATTTGTCCTGCAACTGAAGCACCTGGGAGTTCTACATTCTACATTCAACATTCAACATTCTACATTCTACATTCTACAAGGAATATTATTTGGGCTGCTGCCCAGGAGCTCTCCCTTGCCCTAAGGTCAGCACATGCCATGATCTGTGCCCCTGCTACTTGATGGGACAGTGGTCACTGTCCTCTGCCCCACACACCCATATCCCAGGGTGGGGACCCAGCAGAGGTTGTGTTTCACTCTGAATCACCCCCCAAATTTAGAACAGGTTGCCCAGAGCAGCTGTGGCTTCCCCATTCCTGGCAGTGTCCAAGGCCAGGTTGGATGGGGCTTGAAGCAGCCTGGGATAGTGGGAGATGTCCCTGCCCCTGGCAGGGGGTGGAGCTTTAAGGTCCCTTCCAACACAAAGCATTCCATGACTTTATGACATCCAATGCTGCTGGGAGCAGCTCAGAGCACAGCTGGCCCTTGGGTGGAAGCTCCATCCTGGGAAGCAGTGCTCTGGCATGAGGGTGACTGGATCACCCAGTAAACAGCATTAGAAAAGTTTGGATCCCTTGCAGTAGTAGTTCAGGGTAGGAGGTGGAATTTCCACTTAGCCAAGGATTACAAGACTTTGAAACCTGTTTTCATTTGGAACAAAACTTGAAACTTTTGAAATTCTCCATGAAGGAAAATTAAAAACAAAAAGTTTTTGAGGCTGGCCAAAACGTTTTGTTTAGCTCATATAATTCCTCATGAACTTTGGTTAGATTATGGCATTTGAAAATATACCCTTTTAGTATAGAATCTAGGGCAAAAGCAGCTTTGAATATCAAAATGGAAAGTGTTTCAAGGTGGAAAAGTGAAAAGGTTTCTCACAAAAATGTCAAAACACAATGTTCTAATAGTGTTAGAAATTTCTTGCCATTTTCTCTTCCAGGATAAAATTTTGGCCAAATAAACCCAATTTTGCAAAGTGTTTTTATTTTGAAAGGACTGCATATTCCATTGAAATATGCAGTTCCATCAAAATTTCTCCACTGAGCTTTGATCTGAAAACTTCTAGATCTCACACGTCTTGCCAGAGGCACCATTCCTAGAGAAACTAAGCTACTCTAAGATTTATTACTCAGCAGCATTTTGCATTTAATTTCCTCTTCTTGCCGTGTGTGCCTGCATGTTCTTAACTATGAAGGGTGCAGTCTGATCCTTATCTGTCTCATTTAGTTGCTCTTGTGCCATTTCTATGGAACAGAAGTTTGGTAATCATGTTCTCAGGATTAATGAGTTGTTGTCACTTTAGGGTAGAAGATACACCAAGTGTGCGGTGTTTGTTGCTCCATGATTTTCTGTCTCCACTACCACACTCCCTGATATTCAGGCCCTCTGCCTTTTTGCACTTGGTCTGAGTTTACAAATAGCAGTTAGATCATTGTCCGGCTTCTTTAATTGTCTATCTGTGAGTACTCAAGCCATCAAGATTTAAATCCACTTTCTGCAGGGGTTCATGGGTGTAAATCTCCACTGCTTGAATGTCATGAAGACAAAAGGAGGCACAAGCATGGCGAAAATGAACTTGTTTTAAAATCTGAGATGACACTTTTGGAAAAGGTTCTGTCTATCCAGCTCCTGAGCAGAAAACCACACTCCTCATGTGTCTCTGAAGCAGCTCTGGTTGGTCTGATCTCATTTTCCTGAGCTCTCCTACACCAGGCAGCTGCACCAGCAGTGGTCTGGGCTATGTGGGACCTGTGCCCATTGCAAAATCCTACTGTGAGCAGTGTCCTTCCTAATTCCCTGCTTATTCCTGAGCATGGTGGCATCCAGCCCCCAGGCTGAGGCATCTTATGGTTCTTTCTCAGCCAGTTGTGGCCCCTGCACGAGGGGCTGTTTGTTCCTTGGCAGAGGTCGGGCTGCTCTGATTTATTCTTTATCTTCACCGTAGAGCCAGAAAGCTCTAACCCACCTGGATTCTCACCAGCAACACCAGCTAGATCAACAAACCTTACAGCACCTCCATAACTCTGTCAAAGGGGGGTTTTATGTGAGAAAGGTGATTTTGGCTCAAGCCCAGTGAGTACCTTTGCTTGCTGTGCAATATGTGCATGTATCAGTCAGTTCCTCCTGCTTGGCTCACTGCTGATGGAGAGAAGTGTGAGATTATAAAAAATGTTGCCGCTTTGTACTGCTCTAGAGCTCAGCCTTTTCCTGGGCCTAATGTTTCCCTCGAGAGCAATTCCTTCTGTATCTTAATTGTCCCAGGTGGACGCTGGAGTCCCACTGGGTGGTTCCTTCATCTTGACCACCTAAGAAATGTGGCAGGTGAGCTGCAGTTGTAGCAGGGGTGATATCCTGAGAGCTCCTGATGTCCCCGTGCTGGGGAATTCATCCCAGGCACTGCACTTAACTGCACAATGAAGGATCAGCACTCCAGGCTGGAGCTGTGGGCAGCATTTTAGGGGAAGACACCCTCCTAACCCTCCACCCCTGCTCTCCTGCCAGGACATGGGGTTTGGCACATCCTCACAAACCTCACATTCCTGCTCTGTGTTAGGCAAGATGTGATGTTGCATGAGGTGCTGTTCTGTATCTGATCTGTCTCATAAGGCAAAGGATTTTCAGAACCTGAGTGCAGAGAGGAAGAACAACTTCTGCACCGTTTCTTTTTACATACAAATATTTGTAATTTTCAGAGTCTTTACCTATTTCTAGAAATCCACTTATATGAAATAAGGTTTTAATCCTCTTCCACAACTAAATGAATCTTTCTTACCCAGGTCTAGGTGTTGGATAATATTGAAGAAAGAGTTTATTTATCTCAACTTCATTGAGGTTTTTAGTTTATGAATGGCTACAGTCTGCCACCTGTTTTGGGGTAATGCTCTGTCTGCTAAGCTCCCTGGAGGCTGGGTCCAATTCACACATCTCCAGGGATCACACACTGATCTACCAAAATGTTTAGGTTTGTTTGGAATTTAAGTCTTACCGAGACCTTGAACTGACAGAGGTGAATTTGCAGGATCCCAGGTGGGGACGTACTGGGCTCTGAGCCATTAGCTCCATTTTCCTTTCTGTGAGAGGGCAGTGGTAAAATTCACACATCTTTCCAAAGCCCTCTGAGATACTGGAGTTAAAAAAGACCTTAGGGCTGCGTTCAGGAGCTTGCTCTGGGTCTGAGGAAGTCGTCAGGGGGCTCAGCCAAGCACACCCAGCCGGCAATGAGGGTGAGATGACGTGAGCTGAACGGGGCATTGCTGCTCACAGTGTTTGTCCACGGGGCTTGCACACTTGCCAGGGGAGAAACTCGAGCGTGTTAAATGGACCTCTGGCTTTCTTCAAAATGTGTCACTGCTGTGGTCTCTCCAGATGCTGATCTTAGTGGCATTCCCTCTGCTCTGTGCCATGTGAGGAGGAGAGAAGGGCTCTGGGATATGGGAGGTGAGGGAGAAGCATGAAAAGTTGGGCATCTGCAGGACAATAGTGTTGAATCGCAGGAAGGCTGCCAGGAAATCTATTCTGCATCTGGGTTCATTTGGTATGAACGGGAGAATTCCCTGAGCTGTTTATCCTTGACAAAAGAGGCACATTTCTAACACTTCATTGAATCACAGACAATCAGAATAACCTTCGCACGTTGCCCTTTTCTCTTTAAATTAGTACTGATGTCCTGGTTGTCCATGTATGCCCAGTAGTTTATCTTGCTTTTTTCCTCAGTTGCAAACAGCTGTGCTGTCCTTTTTTTTCCCCCTCTGCCTTCTGCATTTCTTTCCTCTCATTACCTTTCTTTATCTTCTTTTCTGTGCTTTGCCTTCTCCCTGTCATGCTTGCCTCCTTTTTTGTGTGATTATTTGGGAAGGAAAAGGGAATTTATAGCTCTCACTGGATTCTGTTACCAACTGTTCCACCCATCTGACCCCTCTGGATCTTGCAGTCCATGACTCCACGCCAAATTGTAATGTTACCATAGTATTTGGGAACTCAGCAAGCATTGTGGCTTTCATTATTTTTTAGTACTACCTCCCATGTAGCTGGAAACAGCCAACGGTGAGAAAAGTAAAAGCACAAGTGCCTGTTGTTTCATCACAACGAGAGCAAAGAGACAGCTCAGACCTGTGTTCCATGTGCCTCCAAAAAAAGGGGGCCTTGCACAACATGCTAGATCAGCCTGTAAATGCCACAGGAGTTTCCCCTGAGCAGGACAACAGCTTCTTGGAACAAAGGCTCTTTTCTTGTCTTTGTTGAAGGGAAAAAGATTGTATTTTTAAGTGAGAGGCAAGGGTATAAATAAGTAGGAGGTAAACTGGAGGCAAAGTGACTCTGTTTATCAGGTAAATAACCAAATGGAAGGGGTAGAAAATACCATTGTTTGGCACAGGGAAAAGCACTAGAAATAGGAAATGCAGGCCCAGCTGCACTGACACAGTGTGAAGTATGGTGTCCAGCCCAGCTGGCCACTTAAACTGGGTGACTCTCACCTGGCCAGGAGATCCTGGTGTTCCTCCTCTCCATGCTGGCCATGCCTGTTCTGATGAAGTAAATAATTTCCTGGACAGATATGTTCTCCTGCCACCAGTCTGCCTTTTAAACTGATTCCAGTGAAAACTCATGTTCTCTAACTGCTGTGCCCTCTCTTTGCTTCCTTCCTCCTTTCCAGGTCACCCTGATGTTGAGCAGCCCTGCAAATCCAGTGTCAGGACGTGGAGTCCCAATTCAGCCGTAAACCAACACACGGTTCCCCCAGCCTGCCCTGAGCCCCAGGGCTGCTACCTGCAGCTGGAATTTCGCTATCCCCTGACTCCAGAGTCCCTCACGGTCTGGGTGACATTTGTTTCCCCGGACTGGGACTCCAGTGGAGCAGTGAATGACATCAAGCTGCTCACCGTCAGCGGGAAGAACATTTCGCTCGGGCCGCAGAACGTCTTCTGTGACATCCCCCTGACCATAAAGCTGGACGTGGGACAAGTGGGAGAGGAGGTGTATGGGATCCAGATCTACACCTTGGATGAGCACCTGGAAATTGACGCTGCCATGCTGAGCTCTGTCCCCCACAGCACCCTGTGCTCAGGCTGCAAACCCATCCAGTACAAAGTGGTCCGGGACCCCCCTTTCCCGTCTGGATCTCCAGTGGTCATCTCAAACCTCAGCAGGAGATTTGTTGACACGTAAGTAGCTGCTTTCCAGAGAGCTGGATAGATCAAAACAAAACCCTGTTCTTATCCTTCTAATGTCCAGCACTGCAAGTGATTGTTAAGGTGTTGAACTAGACAGACATGCCAGGAACTACCAAAACTAGATGTCCTCATAGGTTGACTCTGAAACCAGGAGCATTAAACCCAAATGAGATGGCCTGAGATTTCATGGATAGTTTTTGAGAAATTTCTGGGCTGGCTGTACAGAGATGTGTCATTCAGGCTTTCTTTAACTAAAAAGGATAATGCAATCTGCCTAAGACATGATAAATTAAATGTTTAAGCGAACCTAAATGAGCACCTCTGGAATAACATGGTCATCATTTCCTTGGGAAGCTTTTGAAAGTAATGTTTTGACGGAGAAGGAGAGAGCCAGGGCTTTCAGTGCTGGAGCACTGATTAACTGCTAAAGAAAGTGTGCAAAGAAATACTCCTGCATGTTCAGGTGTGTAAATGTGTTTCACCCACTTCCATTTTCTGCTTTCATGGGTCACTAAACCAAGTTGCATTGGTGTGAGATTGCTCTGAAATGGGAAACATGGCAAATGCTCTGGTTTGTTGTAGAAAAATCTGTAGATTGTAGAATAACTGTTATACAGTTATTCTGTTATACAGATACATTTACAGTCATCTAGTAAAGGGATACATTACTGTTGAGGAAAGTCCAACTTCAAAATATTTACTGATTTTTGAGGAGATCTGTGATCTACCCATAAGCATTTGACAGGAAGAAAAACATATTTTACATAACACAATTCCCTGGAAATGATTCACTCATCTGTGGGAGCAACATGAAGCTCTTTTGAGAAATGAACACCAGATAAAAGGAAACCTGCTAAGAAAACTGCACTCTAATTTAGAAAAGATGATCTAATTAGTACCGCTAATATCAAGGAAGCATACATCATTATGGTCTTCTAAAGCATATTTAAATAGAATAAAAATGATTAATTAACAATTCAGTAATCACCAGCTACCACCCCTTTTCATGGCCCAATTATGCATCTCAGAAGATGCAAATTGTCCCTACAGATTTAGAAATTTAAGGTAACTAACAATAGTGAATCTAAAAACAAAACCCAGGGCATCACTAAGATTACTCATGTGCTGAAAGTTAAGCATGTGCTTAAGTGCTTTCTTGGTTTGTAGCCTTGTTCAAACAGTTGCTGGCTCTTAGTATGAGATGGATATTGGCATATTGGAAACGTGGAAAGTGGTGAATTTTCCCAAGATTTTGCTGTGAAAGCATCTTTGCCTGAAACCTAGCCCACTCTCATTGGAAAATGGGACTGGGTTTGGTTTGAAATATTTGCATACCTTAGCACAAGTTCCCACAGAAACAGGTCCAGTTTTGACTTCATAACACAATGTGAAGGAAAAGAAGCCCAAAACATAACTTGCATTCTGAATTTTGTCTCTTTGTCTTTTATTATGGTTTTGTGGGTCACTTCTAGCTTACAGCCAGCTCAAGCGGATGAGTGCTCTAAGAATTAAATCAGTAGCCAGGAATTAATGGCAGTTCTCCTGAGGATAATTGATTAAACCACATTGGGTAACAGCACTGTCCCTGTTTGAATGTTTCAGGTAGTTACACAGCCAGCTAAAAATCAAACATTTAATTTAGTGTTTCTGGGCTCCAGCTGTGATCAGTGGACAGAAATGGATGCTCCTGGAAGCTGGCACAGCCAACCTCACAACCAAATCCCATCCAAACCCTGCAGGCTAGCTGGGCTCACTTTCTCTGTGTCTTACCAGGGACCACAGGGAAAATCCTGCCAGTGAGCTCTGACAGGACACTTGGGAAGTTAAGTTTTAGTCACTGGGTCAGGAGATGTGGAGATTCTTAAGCACTCAAAGGTGGTTCTGAGACTGTTTTGGTTGATTTACAGTGAGGGTGCTGAGACCCTGGCACATGTTCCCAGAGAAGCTGGGGCTGCCTCTGGATCCCTGGAAGTGCCCAAGGCCAGGCTGGACAGGGATTGAAGCAGCCTGGGACAGTGGGAGGTGTCCCTAAACATGGCAAGGGGGTTTGGAGCAAGATGAGCCTTAAGGTCTTTTCCAACTCAACCCATTCTGTGTGATTCAAGACTTCTGCATTTGTTTGAACATTTGAGAAGTGAAATGAAATTTTTATCGTATCATCCAGGCCCAGCACTGATCCATATCCCCTGGTGGCGGGGGAGTTTCAGAGGCAGCTGCTGGGCCATACCTTGAGACACAATAAACTCCTTGAAACTCTGTATGAGGTTTTCTGAAAATATGAATTTTCCACTGGAACCCTGTGTAAAGTCTAGGCAGAGTCTTTGCACTCCCTAAGCAGGAAGGAAAGGACAAGGGAATTCAGGGACAGAGGCACTGGGCCATGCTCCTACTTATGAATGTGTGTAGAGGTAAATGCTGTCTCTCTCCTCTGTTCACATCTGCCTGTTTACCTCATTCTGCACCACTGGAATTCAGCATATTTGTGCAGCCAGACTTTGCAGCCCCTTTATCTCCCTGTGAGCCACAAGCCAGTTGCCCCTCCTTGGTGCCCTTGCATGTTTTCCATATTAAATAAAACAACACCCCCACATGTTCTGTGGAAGGCTGTTTTGAAGGCAGTCACATATCTTTACTCTTGCCTCCTCTGACCTTGATCTTCACTTTCTCTTTTTCTCCCAAAGAAAATATTTGCTTGCACTGTTATCTGTGAGCATGATCCTTTCCCCAGGTGTGGTGATGCTGAAAGAAAAATTAATTTCTCTTACCTCCTTCCCGTCAAAGAGAGGGAACTTCCTTTTAAGCTGAGAGGAGAGACAGCCTTTAATGGATAGCCCTTGCCTAGTCAGCACTGGGTGCTCCACAGAGGAGACTAAATAACTAGAACAGTGGAAACATTTTATTAAGAAATGCAAAATAATGCCAGACCTTCTGTTCTCAAGCTGAATTTTAATCTCAACTCTTGGCTCAAGCTGAGGCATAAAAATTCATTTCTAAGGGACAGGACCTTATCCAGGACCTTATCCTTGGACCTTACAAAAACCAGGCAAGATACACTTAATTTCACTAAGTGTGATCAGCCAGAATTGCTGGTATCTGGGATACAAAATGAGAGTCAGAACCTAGGAGGAGAGAAGAAAGCTAAATAAATCAGTGGGGAGAAAAAAGAGGTCAGGCCAGGTGCAGCATAGAACTGCTGAGTCTTCACACCACAGCAACTGATAAAGGAAGGAGCCTCATCTGCAAGTCTCAAAGTCTCAGCTCACAATTTAATCCAAAGTGTGGGTTGTGCACATGCTCAGAGGCTATTCTCTAGAAATGCTGTGTGACATGGTCACAATGGCAGTTGAGGTAGTGTCTTTTTGCCATTGCTGGAGCTTTTTTATGCTCATGTTGTTGTGTTGGAAAGTAATCACTGCTGATTTTTAAAGAGCTCAGTGAGCAGTCAGTGCCCAGAGCTCTCTGGATGGTGTCAGAGGCACAGTTAGGTGTCAGTCCCACCAGGGCAGTCTGGGGTGAGCAGCCTGTGTTCCCCATGGCACTCCCAGTGTCCCAGTTTGTGAGCAGTGAGGAGCTGAGAGTTCTTACAAGACCTACGTGCTCTCCTCTGGCAGATCAAGCCAAGAGACACTGAGGTTGGTTTTGGGAAGTTGTCAGATTAACTGAAAAAACTTTCAAAGAGTTAGAAATTTTCCCAAGTTTTCCGCCAGTCTTTGTAAGAAGCCTCCAAGTGTGGTGGACAACACTAGATCAGGTTGTCTTTGTGGTGTTAACCAGTAGGGCTTTTACAAAACAAAGGCATTGAATAAAATAACCTGAGAAAGAATCTCAGCACGAAGCCCTGGTAGAAGGTTTGGCTTTGCAGAGTTGAGCTTCTCTGAGAATAAAGTTTGCAGTGCTATGATATGTTATTCTGAGGCATTCCTACCAGAGCTTTGGTACCAAGCTGACACAGAGATCCTGCATTCAGACTTCAGAAAAGAAACACTGAGAGAGAAGCTTGCATTTTCTTGTACAGGGAATAGATTTTTCTTCTCAATTTTGGCTATTTTACACTGACATTCTATGGCTAAACCTTTTCTGTTGCTTGATAATAGTTGGAGGAGACTGATCATCATCTGTGCAAACAGCAGTTCTTGCTCAAGTAGAGTATTTTTAAATATGTTGTTAGAATCAGGACTTCCATTCAGTGCTGAACTTGCAAACTCCATGTCATTTCTTGGGTTTTAACTCTGTTTTAACACCTCAAGGTTGTGGACTGAGATCTCACTCTGTCTTCTTGGAGTGCTTGCAGAATGACAGAGAAATTGCCACCCTCAGGATGGCAGGTGGCTGGAGGGCTCCTGTGGCACTGTTTGTGTGTCCTTAGAGTTTCATTGCTCGTGTGTCCTTAGCAGTTCACCTGCTTTAGGCCTCTACTTTACCCAACACAATAATTTCTTTCCAAATTTGCCTTATTAATACGTATACCATTTGTTACTGGTCCCCATTTGGAAGGGGCATATGGAGAGTGTCTTGTCTGAGGAGAGGATGAGTCAAACGGAAAGTGACTCTTTATTCTGAAGGCTCCTACAAATATGAACAAGCAGAGAGGCTGGAGAATCAGCAGCAGCTTTTCATAATGACCAAGAACTCCTTACAGCCACTTATTGGTGTGTCTTTTAGCCCCTGAACTCAAGAATTTACCTGACCCTGGCTGAGCTGAACAGACTGGGAAATTATGAACATCACACTGATGATATCTAAACCCAAGTCCCTGCAGAATGCAACACTAAAACTTCACAGCAACATCTGTCCTTATTATGGCATTCCTTCCTTCACCTCAAAGGTCTATTCTCTGTTTTCTGGAGGTCTACCAGCCAGAGAGGAATGTATGATCTAAAGCAGCTGAAATGAATTGCCAAATCTGTCTGTCATGAAGATAATTAACACCATATTTCCACCCGAACAAGATACAGATCACTGGGTGGTTTTTCTCCTGACACCAAAAGCTG